TGGTTGGACCCATGAGAGCAACAGTGAAAAGGATGGTGAAGAGGGTTGCGGTGATAAGAGTGGCATGAACCCCTCTTTGTCCCCTGTCAACCAGTTTTGGATCAACCATGTAGACAAGGGAGAGAGCTACTGCTCCCCTCAGTCCCCCATAAGCAAGAACAAACTGTTCTGTGATGGAGATTCGCACGTAATTAACATCCCATCGGTTTAGGCACCAGGTGAGAGCATAGACGACCATTGCACGCACCACCAGACAGACAATTAACTGATACAGTATGAAGGAGGTGTGCCAGTGGAGCTCGCCTGAGGTGACGTGTACTCCGATTAGCAGGAAGGTCACACTTTCACTGAGGTCGGCTAAGATCCTTGCCAAGGTTCGACATGTCCCCTTGTCTGCATCACTGAGATTATGAAAGGCGTAGCTACTTTGAATCATTCCTGAGGTTATCATTGCCACCAAACCTGACCATCCAAGCACATCGCTTAAGAGGTAAGCAGCGTAGTTGGCAGCAAAGAGGTAAACAATCTCCAAATGCGTCCGAATCCTAGTCATGAGACAGGAGATGACTCCAAAAACTAGACCCACTAGAATACCACCAGCATTGATGATAAAGAAGGCAGCAATTCCGATGAGTATGTCATGCGCGGTCACATCATCACGAGCTAGAAAGTTAACGACAATTTTGTAGAGCACCACAGTGACCGCATCGTTGAGAAGGGACTCCCCTAACACCAAGAAGTAGAGGTTTGGGTCAACACCAATTTCGTGGAATACCATCAAAACAGCAACAGGATCCACTGCTACGATTAGCGAAGCGTAGAGCATGAGCACTTGAGTGCCAAAAACGAGGCCTTCGGCTCTAAATAAACCGGCAATTTCAGCAATCACCAGAAGGCAACCAATGATAATCATGTTGAGAACGGTGGCACAGAGAGCATAAACAATGATAGCACCTATGCAGTCTCCAAAAGCTCGATTGTAGAGATTGTAGGAGGCATCAAAGATACAAAAGGGCAAAAGAATCATAAAGAAGAGTGTAGGCGTGAGAACCCACAAACAACAATGAGGACTGTGGAAGGTTTTAAAGATCCAACCAATGCCGACCCCGACACAAATTGCAACAAGAGACTCGGGCACTGCGGTGGTGATGAGACGACGAATGACCATGTTGAAAACACGCAGAAGTAGAACGGTGGCGATGATGAGAAGGACGGAGATGTAGTGTGCAGCGTGCCGCGGCTGCCATGCCGCCAGGAGGGAGAGGGAGTAGGGAGGACGGAAAGCATTCAACGTGGTAACTAGTTAAAGTGGGAGGGAGATAGGAACCGATGGAAATGTCGGTAAAGCTATTCTTTTATAGAAAGTGATTTACCACATCTCTACATTGGTAATAACGAGGAGAAATGAAGACCCCAGTATCTCTGTTGCTAGTATGAATGACAGGAAAATTACCTTTGACACAGCAAAGAAACGAATTGTCTTGTACACACATGGCTGTCAAATCTCAATTACTTCAAAAACCCAATAACATGAAAAGACACTTCCAGCACAACTCACCATTTTCAAGAAAGTAGTCGTGTTCGCTCCATGGTGATTCCTTTAGGGGATCGTAGTAAAGAGCGGTGGCTACGGTTGTGACGACGTCCACGTCATCGATGGTAAAGTTGTCAGTCCAATTCGCATCCATCTCCCTTCAAGGCGGTTTCAGTGCTTCAGACACCACGCGATTTCGCAGCACGCGGCAGCCGGCATGACAATTGCGCCACTCAATCGATTTGAGGAAATGGATGTACCCCAAATGTGGAGGTGGACAAGTTAAAAGCAAAGTTTATTGTTTGTCACGAGCCTTCATCACACACATTTTCTGCCACCGGCAATTCTTCTACTGAATGATCTTGAATGTTGAATCCACGAGTGTGTGTCGCCTTTGGGACTTTGATGTGGAAATTTATTTTCCTAGTTAGAAAGCCGTTTGCACACCTACTCCATCTTCGGAACAAATACACCAAAATGGAAGTTATCTTTTGCAGAGTTCAATAGCCATGTGTTCTTTGAGATTGTCGACTTAGGCATGTCAAGAATGTCTGCTGAAGTCGTGGAGAATCCTTAACTCGCTGCTGACCGCTGTCGGTCCTTGATAACTGTAGCTAATGGGATTACAATTTTCAATTTCCTGTGCATCCATCATCTCTAGATTTAATCAACTCACTGAGTCTTCCTTGGGAGCCATGAGCAGGCAGCTAGGCGCAGTGCTTCTCAGTACCCTTAGAAGACGGTCCCGCCTCATTCCACGTCTTAACCACGTCCAAGGATGTTACTAAAAATGATTCCTTTTCTCAAAAGGGAAATCTACTCCCTTTAGCGATAGCAGCCACATCGTTGAAAATTTTGTTTCTTTCTGCATATCAGAAACAGGTGCTTTGGAATAACTAACGCAAAGTGGCAATGAATTCGTGCCTCATTGCGACGGTCTGGTAATGAAGCACAGCAGCCGCCAGACTCCATAATTGTTCGGAATCAAAGTTCTGAAGTTGATTCATGAAGGGCTACAAAGAAAATTAGGTTCCACAACGAATTGACCTGGAAACGAGTTCTTCCTCCAACAAAACAAGCTTCGAGACCTTAAGCTCACTAAACGGCGGTGATTCCGGGTGGAAGTGCTCTTGACGCAGCCAATTTCAACTTATCTGATGCTAGAACGCCAATAATTCTTGAATAGTTCATCCTATGCGACGTGAGTTTCACAGCCACAGTCACCCAAAGTTAATTCAAGAAAAATCTCCACAAGTCGACCCCAAATGGCAGCATTTACAACTTCTCCCGTATTTTAGTTCTAAGGGAAGTAAAAATCATGAATGGCATAGTTTGAGAAGGACCTCAACTCCACCAAAACGCTTGTCAACAAACACCTGAATAGTAAGGAGAATAATGCTTTTACACAGAACTTGCTGGCACCTTTGGTTCATGGTGCTAAAAGTAGTTCATCGATCGTCATCAACAAGAAGAGGGAAGAGAAGGAGAGCAGCATTCTTCTCTACAATGCGCATTCAACTAACCAGGTTTGAGCTACCTGGATAGTAGCATTGAATACGACGATCTATCGCACGGAAATGAAGCTTTGTAGTCTTGGTAAGTTCGTCCAAACTATCTTCCCGCTTCGCTTGAGAAATCGTCAGCTGCAAAGGGAGAATAAAGTAACACTGATAGTGATTACAGGCGGTAATGACAATAGTCGAAATACCCCCACCAGTCCATCAATAGCATTCGAGTAGCCGGTATCCAGAGGTGTCACATCTAAACATAATTCGGCTCGTCTATGAGCTAAATGAAAGAGAAGATCATCATTGGCACCGTCAAGACTGCCATGGTAACCGATGACGAGACAGTGAAGATTAGAAACTAAGAGAAATCCCAGAAACCTATTTGATGGCACCCGGAGATCAGTAAGAACGGCTAAGTCATCGAGGAAGATAAGAGGTTTTCGATCTTCGTCAACGGAATTGATGAAATTTGTAATCTACATGGCAGAAGAAAAGACATTCGTTCAGAACCTCAACGGGTTTGATCCATAAAAAAATATATGCGACAAACAAGAAGACTAACACGTTTTAGAAGGTCATTGTAGAGAACATCACCACTCTGCATCACAGATGACTCGAGGCTCTCTGACAGGTCAAAAGCGTTGATTTTGTGCCGACCTGCGGAACGGTGTAAAAGAGAGGTGAGGTGAGGCATGTAACGATCTGCCGGTTGCCTAGCCGCTATCAGAAGGCTTGTGGTGCCATAGTCACCATCTCCAAAATCACTCAGAAGGCTGGAGATTGTGTTGATAAAAACTCCTTCATGGGAGGCAGGCAAACCCAAACTGGTGATGAAAATAAAGTAGGGAAGAGAATGCCCATCTGTTATGGTTATTTGCTGTTTCAGTAGAGTGCTGAGATCGACGGCCTGCAGGATACGAGAGGAAAATTTAGAGACGGATGTGATGCAGGAAAGAATCTTCATTCACCATTGACTTGTTAACGATGAGCAGAAAAACGAGGTATGCCCAGGTATTCTGAGGAAACCAGTGTAAGAATCCGATCAACTTTATGAGTTGTTCAGGTAGTTGAACATAGGTTCATAAAAC